TTTGCCTATCCTCAGAGTGTCATTCCCTTCGTCTCTACCCCTCATCAAACCTTGTTGTTCTCATGACGAAAGTCTAGACATTGAGAACATTACCTTCACTAGCACGCCGAGTGAAAGACTTCTGGAGCCCATACTCATGTTTTGGGCATGCAATTAAATTTCACTCAACTTGATTTTGAATACAATTTTAATATTCGGATGTGGTTTTTTTTTTTGCCTAATTATCATATTTGAAATAGATCAAATTATTTATTTCAAGTTAATCTAATAATAAGGGATGTTAGATACTTGTACAATTTTTTGCCTAAATTGTGTAGGTTTATGTACAAGCTACTTGTATCACTACTAATACTTAATGTGTTTAGATACTCAATTTTATTTATTAATTTATATTGGAGTGTAAATGTTATGTAGTGAGATAGTATACTTCACCAACTATTTTATTTCACAATGAAATTTTTACATATTAGAATTTGAGTTGGATATATGGAGTTATTCAGTACCACTCTTGATTTTGTTACTTTGATATTAAGATATTAGGTTTGATATAATACTTCATTCACTCACAGTTGAATTCATCATGTCTTGACATATTAAGGTCGATATATCATCCTATTCCATCATGTAACTCATTATTATTACCTTATACTATTTTGGAACATATTTTCATGTGCTGAAATATTGTGTTTATTATATGAAGTTCCTTGTATATAGCTCTCAAATGTAATACTTATGTTTCACAATTAAATTGGTCATTATTAAAATATTAGCATGGTAAAATTTTATTATTTTTTAATGAAACAATTCATATACTAAAATAAAAATCTTAGCCATTACCATATTCTTCGTTTACTATTTTTTAATGAAGTATCAAACGTGATAGTTTATCACACAAACTTAAAATAATAGAAATTTCAACCTTGATATACTACTATATTTTGTAATACAACGTCAATATATTGAGATATCAACTTTTATGTATTGTAGTATTTTGCGATGTGAATTTCATATATGAAAATACCAAAATAGAAGTATTGCATTATTTCACAGTATAAACTGAAAATTTTACCATAGTACATGATCCATTTTGTTAACTACAAAAAATCGGTAATGTTGTTCATCCATTGGGCTCATTTTTTGCTTGTACACAAGTGAGACGGAAGGGGGTTTTCTGCGGTGACAAGTCAAAGGATGATGAGCATAAAGACACAGAAGGATGGGGATAGGGCTTCAGCAGTGGGGGATAGGATGACACCACGAAGGAAATGAAAAGCGGCTGTTGTGGTTGAGGGAGGGACATGGGGTAGAAGAAGAGGTAGGAAAAGGGTTGGGGCCGCCAATATGAGAGAGAAAAAACTAAGGAGAGAGAGACACACAGGAGGGGCACATTACACAACTCCCGGTTCAGTCTCATGGCCTTTCAAATCTCTCCATGAGTCTGCTACGTCGACATAATCTAGAACAGGATCAGTGAGAGGTTGATGGGTGTCTAAATTTTTCCGTGTTTTTGAATCCTGGGAAGAAAGGGAGTACAGTTCTGGATTGAACCTGAAATCTTCGTAGAAACTGAGATAATATAATCACACAGTTCCTAATGATGCAGTGGGAGAAGGGTCTTTAAAAAGATTTAAATATAAGAACCGGATCTGGAATATTTGAGAGAAATTTGATGCTAATGCTAGAGAGCGTTGGATTTTGGGTTTAAGAAGAAAATCTATCACGGTATTAGGGTTCATGGAGATGGCGGGAATCGGTGATTTCGAAGGAATCGCAGGAGGAAGTGCATTAAATTGCTCCAGCTTAGTGTTAGCTGTAATAGAGATGCGAAGAACCCTAACGCAAAATCCGACCAGAGTCGTCTCCTCCAGAAACCCTAGCGGTTTCGAACGACGCTGTGGAGAGACGAGGGTGAGATTTTGTTTCTTGTAGAAGTCTCCTAACGTTGCCAACCCAACGGCTCTTAACTGCTATCCCACCCTGTCTGTCTCATTCTCTCTCTTTCTCTCTCCCTTCCTCTTCTTATTCTTCGTCCTCTCTATATATCTGTCTCTTCCCCTCCACAGCCACTGGAGTGGCAGGAGCTCGGGAAGCCAGCAACGGTCGCAGGGTTTGGCTTCGCACCAGGCACCGCCACCAGGACGGTTACCGACTCATCGGACGATTTATCATGGAGAACTACCACCCTCCTCCGCCACCGCCGGAAGAAGATGACCCGATGGCAGCGGAGGAAGACAACGTCCTCCGATTCTGGGAGTCCCCTCCCAGAGACATCCACGAGCTCCTGCGTCCTCTCCCTGGGGTTGGTAACGAAGGACTGCAGACATCAGAGAGCAACCCCCCTCCCGACCAAAACGTCGGACCAGTCGCGTACAACAAAGGCGGTGGTGGTCGTAACATCGACGGAGACGGCTGCGGTCCTACTCTGCAGCCAGCGGCTCCCGGCGCCGCCTCCGATGGCATTGGCGGAGACCCCAACGCCGCCACTCCGCCGCAGATCCCC